CAGGACTGAAAGCTCTTGAGCTTATTGTCAGCACGGGAGAGACGACGTGCCTATGATGTCCTGCTAGGTAGCAGTGGCTCGGTGCTGCTTCTGGTAGTCGCTTCCATGACGATGCCTCCTACCATTGATGGTGGTCTCAATTTAAATTATACACATTATTATATTAATAATTTATTATCATATTAATGATTTATTGTGAGTCAACATGCCACATAAGCAAACTCTAACGTCCGTTAACTCAAACTTAACAGAAGGAGCTTATATGCTATGTTTTAAAAAATATAAGAGTTATTTAGACACAAGCAAAACTAGGGCTTAAGTTGTCCATGACCAAAATCACAGGGGCTAAAATAATTTTTTTTAATTTAAATTATATATGTTATTATATTAATAATTTATTATGATTCAGTATGTCACATAAGCAGACTCTAACGTCTGTTAACTCAGATTTAACGGAAGAGGCTTATATGCTACATTTTAAAAAATGTAAAGGTTATTTTGGATACGAGTAAACCATAGGGCTTAAGTGGTCCATGGCCAAAATCATATGGGCTAAAATGGATCTTAACCTTATTTATTATATTTTTTATTTTTTTAAATATTTTAAAATTATTTTTTGAATAAATTTAAATATCTTTTTCTTCTCCCTCCTCTTGAATTGTGATACACAACCTTGATGAGCCACAGCCATATTGTTTCTGTTGTCAAGTTCTCTCATAGTTATCTCTCAAGGAGAGAACTTGACGACGGAAACACCATGGTTGTGGCCTATCAAGGTTGTGTATCACAATCGAGGAGATAGCTCTCTCTCACTTTCACCTTCGATGATAAGACCCTCTACATATGGGCTATCAGCGACTTTTCCCTCCTCTCCGAGCTCTTTGGAGGAGAGCATCTCTAACCACTCCTTCTCTGATGGTCGCTACCTCTACTTTACATCGGACGATCACATTGTTTGAATTTAGTACCTTATTATCAATATCATTGTCAAGACCCTCTCAGGCCATACCAATTACGACTTTTGCTACTCGTATAACCCTAATCCAACATGATCACATTCGGCTCCTTCGATGAGATCATTCATGTTTGTGAGAGCAAGACGATGATGACTTCATTAGAGAGCGTAGAGCGACAATTAGTGACAACATTGTCATAAAGCGTAAGGTTTCGGGGAAGGAAAATAAATAAATAAATAAAATCAGTAATATTGAGATTATAACTAATAAAATAATATTTTTTAAGGGGTTATGAATAGCGAAAGATTGTTTATAGAAAAAAAAAAGGAGGCCGCCAATAATAAGCTTCTTATTATTTTGTATTAAGTGAGGTATAATTGGAAGTTTGTAGCACGGTTTTAAGTATCGATCTGACAACAGATTATACGTGCAGCTTGGAATCACATTTTCATATTGCTCCAAATAGATTATTTAGACCCATTTTTCCAATAGATCACAATCACGTTGAGCAAACATACTAATGATCAAGAAATCATTCTACGCTGTACTAAGTATCAATCGAATTTTCACGCCAAATAGAAAGAAAAACAAAAAAGTAAGATACTCTCAACTAGCATAGACTATCGATTAGATTGCAATCCAGATGAGTTGAAACCAGCCTTCCTTGTCACCAAGAGTCATTAACTTCAACTAAGATCTAATACAAAGTATTAGGAGCAATCTTATAAGATCCATAACTAAATGATTAGCTTCACACACACAC